GGCAGAATCCGTTGGGGCAGTAAATAAACCCCGAGGACTGGGGCAGAATGGAAATTAGTAACTTGTGTGGTTTGACTAGACTTTTATTTCATTAAGCAGATGCATATGATTATGCTGTTCATGGTCTGTACTCCGACAAAATGTAGACATATGCTCATGCCAAGTCATCATATGGACAAGAGGTGGCCAAACGATAAATCCAAACATTATGCCAACAACTTCAGAAAATCATCCATGCAAGCGCAGATTGGTACCGTCCAGACGCCGTTTGATGCAGAAAGAAAAAGGAAAAAAACCGCGGGGTATTCCTCGCTTGCAACTCGTAGAATACATCAAAGAAGGGAAGAACCAAGAAAACCACGGGATATCCATCTACCAGTCCACAGCCCAGCCGTTCTTGTTGAGAAACTCCTCGCACGCGGCTTTCAGCGCATAGTTGGGCCGAAGATCGTTGACGGTCATGGGCACCCGGGTGATGGGGTCAACGCCGGACTGTTCGACGTATTTGAGGATTCCGATGCGATCGAAGCTGGTCCCGGAGGGTGTGACGACGGGATCATGCATGATCTCAAACGTGATGCCGTCAATCAGGTAATCGGGCACAACCTGCGACAAAATCATTAGACACCTCTCCCCACAGAAAGTATGGCCGACTGACCCTCTCCTGGACATCTCCATTCGACGCAATCCGGAACGCCTCCCGGACATTCTGGATATTCTTCTCCGCATCCGCACGGAGCGCCTTCTGGTCCTCCACGAACCCCGTCTGTCCGATCTCGCCCTTGTCCAGTCTCGCCTGCAGCTCCGCAACCTCCCTGTTGAGATCGGCCTCGACCAAGGCCTCCACCGTCGCCAGGGTGGCATTCATCTCCCGCAGCCGGGCAGTCTCCTTCGCAGCCCAGATCTGCTGCTTGGCCCGCAGGACCGTCTTGGACAGGTTCTCCGTCTGCGCGCTCTTAGCCGCCAGACTGGCCCGGTAGGCATCGATGGCCACCTCGTACGCCTCCTGCGGGCGCTGGAGGCCCAGGAGCGCCTGCGCAAGGTACCAGCAGCTCTTGAGGCTGGAGGGGTTCTTGGGGCCGTACAGCTCGATCGCGGCGCGCGCGTCGTGTTCCACGCCGGCCCATTTCTCCAGCCTTATCCGGGTGAGGGCGCGGTTGGTGAAGAAGGTGGGTTCGCGCGGGTTCTTCTGGATACTATCATAACCCAAACAAAAGATTAGAGCTGGGGCTTCGGCCAGGGATGGGCAAAAGGGAATAATCACGCTTGAGAGTAGAGCTCCTCCGCACCATTGTAGTCGCCTTCCTTGAAGAGCTGGTTGCCCTTCTCTTTCAGTTCGAAGGACATGTCCGTTGAGCGATCGGATATATTGCAGTAGGTGAAGTGGTGAGTCGATATCTCGCTTTGCGAGGATGCACAATTCTTCGAGTCGACGCACTTGGACGGAGCAATCGATCACGGTGGGGCCGTCTTCAGACTTCAGTATCGACTATCGAGGGTGCTCCACAGGAACAAGCGCTTTTCACCCAGGAACACGCTGTATAACAAATACGAAGTCGAGGGAATGAAATCGAAGAATCAGCAGACTGAGAAGATAGTCAGCGGGTATCCCGTGATGAGACGATTTGGACTTGAAATCCAGAAGTGATGCCTCACGCTGGAGACGGGGAGCATGATGCCGGTATCCATTTCTTATAGACAAAGCATGCCGGACTTGACCTCTGCTTGTCAGTCACTCTGCAAACGCATCGAAGCCGATGGATCCCCGCAGAATCGTCGACGGAGCAGCTGACTCAGCGGGTGTCCTGCAAAGCATAAGGGATGGGGATGATGGCAGTGTGTGGTTAAAGAATCTACATGTACAAAACAATTCCAAGAAATTTTATTCAATCTATCCTGTAAATAGCTTTTATCAACAGGGAAAAGACAGTTCGATGGGCGGGATGTCGGCCTGCCAAATCATCCCAGCCACATATATATATGGTATCATTGATTCGCTGGATAACATCAAAAAAGCTCATGTGTGCGTCGAACTCGACACTGAACCTGGCCCAATCAGGCAGTATATATGTGACACACGTCCGTCCCGGTCATCATTGACGTTGCAATATCTGCCGCGACAATACTACCGGAGAGTAATATTTGCATCAAGCTAAGATGGCAGTCTGGCACAGGTCGAGCCAATACTTGGGTGAACCGCCACCTACTGAGCAGCAGCGAATTCCCGCTCGTAGTCGCTGATGGCCTGAACTTTGGCGGCAGAGGCGCTCTTAGGGTCGAAGCGGTAGGTGAGCCAGTCGTTGGCGAGCTTCTTGGCCAGCTCAATGCCGATGACCCGCTGGCCGAAGCAGAGGACCTGCGCGTCGTTGCTGAGAATGGAGCGCTCCACGGAGAAGGAGTCGTGAGCGGTCACGGCCCGGATGCCGGGGACCTTATTGGCGGCGATGGCGACACCGAGACCGGTGCCGCAGATGAAAAGACCCCGGTCTGCCTTGCCCTCCTTGATGAGTTTGGCGCCGGCGACGGCTGGGTGAGGATAGGCGGTCTTGTCGGAGGTGGAGTTGACGCCGACGTCAGTGACGGACTCGACCAGAGGGTTCTTCTCCAGGGCGGCCTTGATGGTCTCCTTGTAGGGCTGGCCGGCCTCGTCACAGGCCATGACAATGCGGAGGGGCTTCAGATCGGCAGACATTTTGGTGGAAGGGGATGAAGAAGAAGAAGAGAGGTAGTCGGTTTAAGGTACAAGCCAGATGGAGAAGAAAAGTGGGAATGTGTAAGATGCACGGAGTAGCTCCGATGAGACGAATCCACTTGAATGATGATCAATGTAGATTCCAACGGGGATTCAGACGCCTTTTATATCTTTGCTGGTGCTGGTGCTGGTGCTTTGGAGCTTCCACACCTCCATTCTCGCGTGCACAGCACAGTATCCCGGGGGTTCAGTGGAGACTGTGCCGTGCGATGGTTGGGAGCTGAACTCTGATGGTTGGAACTTGGAACAAAGTCTCTGGCCTGCACGACATCTGCGGACATTGTCTTTTCTGATAGACGGCTCATAGGATGATGGAGGGTGGAAACCCCACAACCTGCATCAAAGGCATTGGTAGAGATGGGATGGGATGTTATGGTGGAGGAACGGAACTTGATGCGACACAACGACCGGAGGCTTGCGACGCCCCGCAGTGGCGTCAAGTCAATATTATGGATCCAGTGATAGATATCGATCAGTTCATTCGGATGATTTAGGATGGATATTGCATATCTACCGCTAAGGAGCCAGTGACAGACAGATTGCCCTCTGCAGACTTTGAAGGCTGAGTTGGCCCTAGAACCATGACGATTTGCTATGCTTATCCTTGAAGCAATATCCTCTGTCCTGAAAACTGGAGACCAAGTCGATGAAACCATGGATGAACACTTGAACACTTGAACAGTAAGTCGTTTAACCCCGGAATACCTATTCTGGGGTTCCATCAGACAGACCTCTTTCTGGAGTCAACTAGTGGTGATGCTCCACTCATAATGTCAGCTCATTTGATTCGATTCAATCGGCTTGCTGCTCTTGGCCGAGCGTGTATTATCCACTCATCATTGTCGATGGATTACTGCTGTACCAATAACGAAGAGGTCCAAGCGGCTCCTCGGGATGGCTTCACACTACATATTACAGGCTGTCGACCGTATCCATCTCGTTCCGTTGATTTCCATTCAACCTGAGACTGAACCTGAACCTAAGGGTACATGGACGTATCAAGGAGGTGTACCGAGCCGGTACCTTGTCCACCATACAGGATATCCCAAACCAGCCTCCCGTCCTCTCCTTACTGGGCTTGGGGATAGAGGCATCGGAGTTGCCCCGACACAGTGTCACCTGAACCATTGACTATCAGATATTGACAACGACAAGCCTAGACTCAATGTGCAAGATAGAAGATTCAATTCCTGTGCCAAGGGGTGTATAATTGCTTCTCATTATTATTGTCTATCCCTAGTACGTACACACAGCCACACTGGTCAATTGCTATACTAACCTTTACCTCAGCCAATACTCAACCCAGAAGATCCATACCCAGGAAGACACAATGGCCACCACCAAGACAACCTTCCCACCCCTCCCCAAAACCCTCCTCATCATCTCCCTCAAGATGTACTTCACCCCCGACCGCACCCTCTCCTACCTCCGCGCCCTCCTGGACCCCAAGAACGAGATCGTCCGCCCCCAGAACCGCCCCCGGCTCCTCCTCGCCCTCATTCCCGACTTCCTAACCATCTACCCCTGCGCCCAAATCATCAAAGACTGGACCACCGCCTCCAAATCCGCATCCGCCTTCCTCCTCGGCGCCCAGGACTGCTTCTGGGAAGCCGCAGGCGCCTACACAGGCGAGGTCTCCCCCGCCTCGCTACGCTCCCTCGGCGCCTCCCTCGTCGAGCTCGGCCACGCCGAACGCCGCGCCCTCTTCGCCGAGACGGACGCCCACACCGCCCGCAAGGCCGCCGCCGCCGTCGCGCAGGGCCTCATCCCCCTCGTCTGCATCGGGGAGGTCACTGCCCCGGGGCCCATCGCCTCGGAGGCGGTGGGCCTGGCCGTGCGCGAGTGTGCGGGCCAGGTCCGCGCGGTGCTGGGGGCGATCCCCGCGGCGGCGCCCGTCATCTTCGCGTATGAGCCTGTCTGGGCGATTGGGAAGCCGCAGCCGGCGGGGGTGGACCATGTGGCGGCGGTGGTGGAGGGGATTCGGGCGGTGATTGGGGAGCGTGACGGGGAGGTGAGGGTGTTGTATGGGGGCAGCGCGGGGCCCGGGCTGTGGGG